AGCAGCGCCATTCTATCCCGTGTTAGCCCTTGGTCTAACTCCGAATCTAACCTCGGGGATATCACTGTGTTCCAGTCACTTGCAACTATCAGACTGAAGTGGTTGGGTAAGACCTATGGGAGCATCTAAAAAAATGATTCCCTTTCCTTAATGCCATTCGCCGCATAAACTGTAGCAAAAGCCCATACCTCCTCCCCGATTTTTATCTTTACCCAACACCATCTACCCTAGGCATCGCTATTGAAATCAATCAGACTTGCCTCTAGCCTGCTGTGTATTAGGATCTCCACCCCACCTTTCGTCCCTCTCGCGGGGGACCAAATTTTGGGACCGTCCCACCAATCCTTAAGTTGGGCTAACTTGCATTCTGACAATTTGGTCTCCTGGACAAAAAGCACATCCACCCGCTCCCTATGCACCCATGTTTTAATCCTCTTGCATTTCGCCTTACCACCTGACTCCCCCATCCCCGCACATTCCAAGTCGCTAGTCTGATTCTACCCATTACGGGAATTGATCACGTATGCGGCTTGGATACCTTTGGGTTGAGGGTTCAATCCTCTAACCTCATCGTCCTCCGTCCCTAGCTCCTGCTCCTGCCACCTTCCCACTTGACACTGGTTGAATGCATTGGATAGTAGATTGACTGCACGAGGCATATTCGGATTGAGATCCTCCAAGCTCAATCGTAACCTGGAATAGGATATGAATGGGTGGAAAAGTCAATGCAATCAGCGGGAAGGAACCCAAACCAACTTGGTGAAGACCCACCCAGACTTCAACAGACAATCTAGCATCAATAAAAACCACCGTGAAACAAATGGACTTCTCTGGAGCAACTTCGACCCGCAACTTTGACATGAAGAACTCCGGGAATGTACGAAACTCAAACCTGTCATCGAACAGGTAACGAGCTCTTTCTTGGATGAGCGTTGGCATCGGGGGTACCTCCAGTCCAACTGTTGGTAGGACAAGGTTTTCATCCCTATCTAACAGCCCGATAAAGAACAGTTCTTGATCCTGTGCCGTACACACCAGTGGTAGAAGCAATTTCTCTTCAAACGATCTCCCGTCCTGCGAGCTGGAAACGATTCCTCCCAGGATGGCGCGAGGCGACTCTTCCATTACATCCCTACGAAGCTCTGTGGAAGCGTGAGTGCCTTGTAAGCCCCCCTCATCTTCCGAGCCCCCAGCTTCATCCTCTGAAGGCAGCGCCCCGTGTCCACTGTCCTTGCGGATCTGGACGAGGGCGTAAGAGATCTGATACTATACCTCTGCTCCCTCCAGGCCGCCCTTCCTGACCTGGATCACTCTGTGGCCAAAATACTCTGTAGTTGAGGCCTAGCCCTCTCCCAAACTGATTACGAAGCGGGAGTCCCGACGAGGATGAAGGCCTGACCAAACTTTCGTGATGTTGGTTGATGACGGGTTGCACTCCCGACCGCGGGACGTATGGTTGGAAACCCCGGGCTGGCCCACTCAATGGCATGCGAAGGTGGGTAGAACCAGAGCCTTGGTTTTGCCGACCCCCGCCCCTTGTGTCACCATGTTGATGGGCGGGCGAGCGAACAACTCCGCTGCCACTACCGGTTGCTTGGCAGTCGGACCCGCGTGCGTAACCTGCCTGAAACCCTTCAGCTTAGGATCTTGCGTACCTATCTCTCGAAATTGGAGTCGCCATTCTCCTCGTGTCCTCCCTCGCTGCCTCCTTGATGTGCCGGTTTACTGGTTGTCGACGAAATCACCCTTCCCCTTGAGTTGCCGTTTCCTCCTTCTTGCCTTCTTGTGGACAACCATCTAATGAAGTGTGAAACCACCAACGGCATCTATCGCAATACGGGGTGTGCTTACATACGAACTTCAGCCGGAAAACCTCCCCCCCCAATCGCATCGAAAGTTCCGGTTCAAACTTATCTTCCTCTACTTTCTCCAATTCAAACTTCAGATTCATTAGCTTGGGTCTTGTACGATCTTGCTCCGGCGGAGGGCTCTTGATTACTCGGCCCGTGGAAGTTTCCAACATGTTTTCCATATGGAACATGACGCGAAGTGGTACACGAATTGCCATCACCCAGAACTTGGATTCATCTTCTAGGCGTCTTCTTTCCTCCAACTCCGACTTCGTCATCCATGGCTTGAAGTGCATGGCGTACTCGACTCCACGAATAGAGATGGAGTCCTCAGCTTTCGCCACCAGCCACTGCGCCACCTCTCTAGATCTAGCAACATATGAGATGACATTTTGACCCTCAGCGTGTACTCTCCCACGACCAGTATTCCGTTCAAACGTCCGTTGTCGGTACCACCCATTTTCGTACGCCCTAATCAAATCTTCCCTCACTCGCATCGGGAGGTCTCTCGCAGCTCCTTGGAAAATAATTGTAACTGTATGTTCTCTTAACCAGCTGGTCATGAGTTCATCCAGTCGGGGGTTCACTACAAAGGATCGGAATCCTCCCTCTTCTACCCATTCTCCATGACGAAATTTTTCAGGGAGCACCCCATCATCATAACACTTCGAAATTAGTAGGCGTAGTCTGTCCTCGTTGGAAACAAGCACATCTCCCGGTACCTGAGGAGTACGACCTCTCCCATCTTGCTGCCCCGCCAATCTTCCTTGTGACGCCATCCGTTTTAACTCCACTCCTCCTCTCTGTCGCGTTGACTCCCCCTACTCGCCATTGGTGGGCACCCGAATTCGGCGCACACCCTCTGGAATTTCCTCCTAGTATGCTGAGCTTTGCACTTAGTCCGCATGTACACATGTTTCACAACACTTTCATGAGAAAGAGACAAGAAAGGATAACCAGAAGGTCTCCTTCCACCGGAGCTGGCTCGAAAATTACCGAGCACGAAGACTCTCCAACACCTCGGTCATTGTGTCGGTGACTCGATGTGATGGCTGCCTTGATACTACCCGAGGGCAAGACAAGAAGGGACAACCCGAAGGTCTTCCTCCACCGGAGCTGGCTCGAAAATTACGGAGTACGAAGACTCTCCAACACCTCGGTCATCGTGTCGGTGACTCGCTGTGATGGCTGCCTCGGTACTACCCGAGGGCACTTACTTAGAGCACGCACTGTGCCAACCGCCGTGTCCCCTTGGGCCTAGAGTCTTCCGGCGCCGCGAAGCCTGGATCCGCTAACGGAGCGGAGCGCCAAATTTTGCGCTACCGGAAGACTCGCGGCCACCCGGACCCGATTTTTTTTTTTTTTTTTTTTT